AATATGATTACTTTAAGAAGAATACAAATTTGGATACATGAGTTTGGTATATGTTAAAATATATCAATAAGAAAGAAAGAAAGGGGGGAGAGAGAGAGAGAGAGAGGGAGAGAGAGAGGGAGGAAGGAAGGAAAGAAGGAAGGAAGGGAGAAAGACAGAGAAAGAAGAAAGAGAGTAAAGAAAGATGGAGGGACAGAGAAAGGAAAGAAAACTGAAATTTCCCTGGTGCCAAATCTTAGAGCATTTCCTTTAGAGAACTTGTAATTATAAATTCATTTTCTCTTCTCTTTGAGATGTATGCAAATATTTTTAAAAGCTAAATAAGCCTCTTGCCAGTTTCATAACTCAGGAGTGTTTTTCTTAAGTTTTCCAGGAACCATCTCTTTTAAATGTAAACATCAAGAAAGATAACATCCCTGTTTCCTTGGCTCTATGGGAGTGTAGTCTAGGCACCTGGTTCCAAGCTGTAACTACCTGCTCCACATAGATATATAAGAAGTTTTAATTTTTATTATTATTATTATTATTTGGGATACAGACAACTAATACTGATGAACACTTCAATTAGCAGATGAATTTAGAATAAATTATGTGGCAAACAGTGCTGTCAAGTCAAACAGGGGGGTTATCTATGAATATTCTTTAAGTCATATAGGGAAGGGTGGTTCTTTGCAGTAAGCAGTTTTACAGAACAAGAAGAGTGGGAGATTTCTTTAAATTGTCCCCATTTTCCAGGAACAGAACTCGGGCAAAGTTCAACGTTGTCAGTATGGATACAAAAACAGACATAGATCAAAGCAGCAGAATAAAATCCAGAGGTAGATCTATGAATATCTAGACACATGAGTTACGACAAAGAGGGAACTGTAAAACAATATAAACAGTTAAATGTTTTCAATAATTGGTGTAAGTCAAATGACTATACATATGGGGGGGGGGAAAGGCCTCTATTTTGCACCATGAAGAAAAATTAATTCCAAGTGGACAGCAGTTCTCAATGTGAAAAGTAAAATAATACAACTTCTAGAATACAGGAAATAACTTCATGATCTTGGTGGTAGTTAAAGGTTAACAGCTTTATTCATAAAGTAAAGCCTTGAGAAAGTAGACTACAGTTGACCCTTGAACATTGGGGTAGGGGCACTGACCCTTTGGGCAGCCAAAAATGTGAGTATAATATATAATTTGCCTTCTGTACACAAGGTTCCTCCATATCTGCGGTTCCACATCTAAGAATTCAACCAACCATAGATCGTGTAGTAGTATAGTATTTACTATTGAAAAAAATCCATGTATAAGTGGACCCTTGCATTTCAAACCCATGTTGTTCAAGAGTCAAGTGTGCAATAAAATTAAAAACAACTGTTTATGAAAAGAAACCATAAAAAGGATGAAAAAGGAAGCACAAAGTAAGAAAATATCAGTAAAATATATAATGAACAAAGGGTTCAAATAAAGAATATATAAACTGTTCCTACAAATCAACAAGGAAAGACCTAACTGAAAAACAAAATCAAGAGACATTAGCAGGGACTTAACAAAAGTGCATATCTAAATGCCCAATAAACATAAACAAGGAGATAAATCTCATTTGAGATTTCAAATTAAACCGTGATACATATACAAATAAGTTTCTATAGAAAGTAATGAAAATTAATGAATAAAAGCTCATACAATTAACCAACCATAGCTAATTTAATCAACCAAATAAATGTTGAGCCAAAGAAGCCAAACTCAAAAGAATACATACCGTATGACTCCATTTTTTATAAAGTTTAAAAACAGACTATGCTAATCTCTGCTGTTAAAAGTGAAACTCTACCTCTGCTGAGAGGGACAGGAATAGTGACTGGAAGGAGGCACTAGGGCTTCTGGAGGGCTAGGAAAGTTTTCTCTTTTGATCTGGGGGGTGGTTACATAGCTATGTTCATTTTGTGATTGAATTCAAAGTGCACACTTGCGGGCCTATCTCTATTTATGTTATGCTACAGTTTAAAAAGAAAGAAAAAGAAAGATTGGTACTTTTTAGTGTTGAGAAAGATATGTGGAAAACAGCATTCTCCTATGTTGTTAATAGGACTCTAAATTAGTACATAATTTTGTAAAGGGTGATAGTGTAACACATACACTTTTTTTTTTTTTTTTTTTGCAGTACGCGGGCCTCTCACTGTTGTGGCCTCTCCCGTTGCGGAGCACAGGCTCTGGACGTGTAGGCTCAGCGGCCATGGCTCACAGACCCAGCTGCTCCGTGGCATGTGGGATCTTCCCAGACTAGGGCACAAACCCGTGTCCCCTGCATTGGCAGGTGGACTCTCAACCACTGAGCTACCAGGGAAGCCCACACATATACATTTTTTAATATGCATGCTGTTAGATCCAGAAATTTTCTATGTGGTATCTATTTTGCAGAAAAATTTACATATATGCCGAAATATGTAAATACCAGGTTGTAAACAGCAGAATGTTTGCAACATCAGAAAAATTGGAAACAAACTAAAAAACTGTCAGAAGTGAAAATGTTTTATAAAATTATGTTACATCTATAAATTAGATATTAGAAATATATATCATGAGCCTCAGATGTCATGATGATTGTGAAGATGCTTTGAAAAGTACAAAATTCTGTACCAATGTAAGATGCTCTTGTAATACTGCACCTTTGTACATATGTGAAGTACAGTATTCTGGATGAAGATAGGAAGGAAGGGTATTTTCTACATCAATCTTCCAAATAATTTCCTGAACAGAGCAAGAACAGTATTGCTCCACTATGAAGGAGAGGAAATTGGGGTTTTTTTTGAATTTTATTTATTTTTTATACAGCAGGTTCTTATTAGTTATCTATTTTATACATATTAGTGTATATATATGTCAATCCCAATCTCCCAATTCATCCCAACTGTTGAGTTTTAATGCTGAATTAACCTAAGACATTGGCACTCTTTACAAAGAACAAGTAAAGATAAAAGAGTACTGTGACATTTCTATACCTGAGCAAGTTGCTAAGTTGCTCCTACAGGTTCACTGGCCTTTTGTTAGCAACTTTTTAATGCAACAAGTATATCTGAAGGATTTACGGTTTGCAGAGTGCTTCATGCACATTCTTTCATCTGATCTTCCGAAAAATGCCAGTCTACCATTCTCTCTGTTTTAAGAGGTTACCTTGTTTAGACAGTAGAGCTATTAACTGAAACCAGGCCTTCTGATTCCATGCCGTGTGTTCAACATTCCCTTAAAGGTTGCCTCTTATATTTGTTGTTGCTGCTGCTACTTTTTAATCCAGGTAGGAAAAGGAAGAAAATTTTTAGTTTGTGGATTTGCAATTTTTATGTAAATTCTAGGCACTACATTTTGTTTAATATTCCTGTCAGTGAATTTTAAAAAATATATATAACCAGGGACTAGAAAAATGATTATTTCAAAATCCTTCTTAGACACTTAAGAGTGCTGAACCTAAAGGGAAGGAAGTCTCTCATTCTTCAGAGAAAGAGAGTAAGTAGTCTCAAGGGGAAGGGTCTTGTGATTGTTAGGACCCTGGTAACTGCATTAATAGGTAACAGATACATGGGGTAAGAGCAACAAAGAACCTGATTTTTATTTTCCTATAAAGTCTGATCAATAATAATATCTCGGGCTTCCCTGGTGGCACAGTGGTTGAGAGTCCGCCTGCTGATGCAGGGGACACGGGTTCATGCCCCGGTCCAGGAAGATCCCACATGCCGCAGAGCGGCTGGGCCCGTGAGCCATGGCCGCTGGACCTGCACGTCCGGAGCCTGTGCTCCGCAACGGGAGAGGCCACAACAGTGAGAGGCCTGCGTACAGCAAAAATAAATAAATAAATAAATAAAATAATAATATCTCACACTTATTGAACCCTTAGTATGTTCCAGAAACTAGTCAAAGTCATTCACACCTTAACTCATTGAATTCTCAGGGTAACCTGTGAGGTGGCTATTACTCCTATCTTAACAGGAAGAGACAGTGGCACAGAAACTGTGATTAGGAGAGAGGTTTTCAATGGGAAGTTTCAAGACCCTAGGACTACAAATGGAGAGGAAATATTATTATTCAAAAGACTGAAAACAAAAATTTAAAAAAAAGTAAACAAAAGAAAGACTGAAAACAGTTTTAAATGAAAGGAAAAAGTTCTGATGTTTCTCAAATGCTATCTATTGTGAACAAAGTAATATGGCACCTGCCATGTCAGTAAACAAGGAATATTGCCTGCCACCAAGCCATCAGCCACTGTAGCCTCCCCACAACAGGGAATTCAGGATGGAGAAAAACAGGATACATGTCCTACATAGTTAAGAGGCATATCAAAGGAATAATTTCAATGAGCCCAGACTCTTGCATCTTCCCATGCATAGAAAAACACTAAAATCATTAACTTGAGATATCTGTTTTTTGTGATTAGCAGTAATCTTTTAATGTCCCACTACATGTATTTTTTCCAGCAACAAGTCCTATGTACCCTGGCTCCTCCCTTACCTGTTATAACAGTTCCTCAGAGTTCGCAGTAATGCCCTTGAATAAAACATAATTCTCAACTTTTAGGTTGTGCATTTTTTTCAGTCAACACCATATACAAAGAAATTAAAACATTCCATTTCCAGTTGGAATGACCAATATTCTTTCTGCTATGCACTGAATTTATAAAACCTAACTATAAGTTTATAAAACCATTTTACAAAAATCTTACAAAACCAAAGTCCTCTGGCTCTCAATTAAGTGATTCCCCCAATATTGCAAGAGGCCTCTATTTGCTGTGTCCACACTGTCAACCACTCATTTTTAAACGACAGCTGGAGAAGTAGGGAGGTTAACAGCGTTAAGCAGTCCAAGTAGCCTTTCAAACCTGCCCAATACCACCGAACACTTATCCAAATTTACACAGAAACATCTTGCAGACATAGTATCACACATGCACACAGATAAAAGCACACACAGGCACACATCTCTTATGCCAAGGGATGTGCCCAAAGGTCTTCTCTACCTACAATTCTGTTTCTTGATGAGGATGGAAAGAAGCTTGACTCATCTTCAATGAGGAAGAGCTCCTGCCGATGTCTGGTGAATTGGGCAGTGAAATATTCAGCATGAGGATGCTTCACGTTCCTTGGGAGCTTCAGAGGCCCAAGCATACAGCTAAAAGGGATTTTGTCAGCTCGAGGAATATCACTCTCCTTAATAGGCATTTTGATTCCCAACACTTCAGCGTAAGTAACTAATACCTCCCAAGGGGCATGGATCTTGACAAAATAAGTTTTTCCATCTTCGGAGTTCTGTATAAGATGGAGGCAAAATAACAGAAAGATTACTGAGTTGATTAAAGAAAGAAAATTTTACAAAATCTCAAACAAATTAAAGACATCAAGTATTTTCAATTTATTGAAAAATTTCAGCAAAACTTTGCAAATGCTCAAAACAGTTATACATATTATACTTACATATATATGGATATATGTGTATACTATGTGTGTGTGTGTGTGTGTGTGTGTGTGTGTGTGTGTGTGTGACAGAGAGAGAGACATAGAGACAGACAGAGACAAAGAATATTTTTAAAAATATATTTCAGGGCCAATGTACACTAGTCTGAAGTCCATAGAAACACATGTGGTTCTGGGAAATCTCTTACGTTTTTAGCAACTAGTTATAAGCTTAGAACTGTGTTTAGGGTATATGAGAAATACATACAAAGTATAAGATATACTCCCTCTTCTTACCCAGTTTTGATGTATCACCTATACCTAAAGGAGGAACTTTAGGTAATAAGGTTCATTACACAGGAGAATAATTAAGTTACACATAGAATATGTGGTATAATTCATATTTACTAGTTCAGTAAAATACAGGGATAAATAAGTAGAGACTATTAATTTAGAAGTAGAGAGTATTAGAGTTTCATGGACAGGGTGGGATATGAAATAGGTCTTTAAAAGTAATTTTGAAGGAAATTCTAGAAAACCAGTAAATGGTAGGAGGTTAAAAAAAAAAAACTTGGCATATTCATGAGCACAAAAAGTGTCTTGGCTTAACTAGAAGGTTGTGTTTCAAGATAGCCAGGTTAACTAGTTAGGGTGCTAGATTATAGGCTGCCTTCAAAATGACACAGATATGAAACAAAAACCACGTCTTTACTTTCTCTGGATCCTGACTAGAACTATTTATGCCTATTTTTAAAGTGTTCCACTCATCCCTTATCATCTCAAATTCAGAGCACTGACCTACTTATTTACCTGGAAGACCACAGGCCCTACCATCCTCAGTTACATGTCAGTACCCAAAAAAGCTATTGTTTTACTCCCAAACACAAAGTCTAGCCAGTCAAAGGTCAGAGGAGAAGAAAACAAAACTTAAAAAACTAAGACTCTGATATAGATTAACAATTACATTTACCATTTTATCTTCAATTTCCAACTCAAGACCTGTTTTTCTGAGATTTTGTTCAAACTCTTTTCTTCTTTCCTATGGAAAAACAAATTAGTAGTATTATGTAAAACCCTTTTATTTGCCCAGTGATAAACAGACTTGTTACACAATGACTGTGCCTCCAGATGGTCCCTTGGTTGTATAAAAAAGTACTCTATGTATTACCCCCATCTGAGTGCCATGGCCTGCTTTTCACCTATATTATAAATCACAGTATAACTATAAAAATCCAATATATCTAGGAATAATCTCCAGGAAATATGCAGGACCTCTATCTGAAAAAAATGCAGAAAACTTTACTAATTAACATAAAAATTTTGATAAACAGAGAGACATATTATACTCCTAGTTGGGAAGATTCAGTACTACAAAGATATCAGTATTCTTCAAATAAAGGACATATTTAATGCAATTTTAAGCCAAAATATCATCATGACTTTTTAATCATGAAGAATAATTTCACTTAGAAAAAGTAAAATTAAATTTAATTCAATTAAATGCAAAGCCCCATTACTGTGGGCTTTAAAACAATAATTAATTTTCAAAAAATCTTTTTGCTTTATTATTTAAGTGTGAAAAAATTGTAACAGTGATTTAAGTATAATTCAAGTATGATTTAACTCTTATGTGTGAAAAACTGTAAATGTGACTTAAATGTAAAAATTTATGATTTAAGTGTGAAAAATAGTAACTGAAATTTTAAAAGGTTTCACTAGGATATTACAGGACACATCTTCAAATGGATATGTCCACCTTGAGAGATCTTCAAACTTTACAAGGAATAAAATATAATTTTAATGGGTTCTTTTTCTCCATTTCCAAAGTTTCCTACATGTGAGAATATGTCTATGAATAATTCTCCTCTCTCTGATACCCTTTCACAATTGCCCTTCTCCTAGGTTACCAAAGAAAAGACAGGCTGTGAACATCCAGGAAAGCAAAAACAAAACAAAACAACAAGGGGCAGGGTGGTACACTCAAAATATTGTTATCAGTATTAAAAAAAAGTGAATCTTCTCACTGTAGTAACAAATGCTTTTGCAAGTCATGTGGACACCAATTCTCTGAGTTCAGTAAAACTGAAGGCCGAGCTAAGAGGATTATTAGGTGACAGACCATTAAACATTACTTTTATGATAAATCACTTTGTAATTTGGGGCTATAATTCAGGAGCTCAAAAAAGATTCAAACTGCTAAAACAGTACCTTTTCTATTCCAACCTACTTATTTATCTGAACAAGCTTAATTTATACAAACATATATAAAAATAGAATATACTTGAAGCTGAACCATCTCATCCTAGGAATAATTCTCATTCATCTACAAATAAGGAAAATATTGTTTTTTGGGTTTTTTTTAAACATTTTTATTGGACTATAATTGCTTTACAATGGTGTGTTAGTTTCTGCTTTATAACAAAGTGAATCAGCTATACATATATATCTATCCCCATATCTCCTCCCTCTTGCGTCTCCCTCCCACCCTCCCTATCCCACCCCTCTAGGTGGTCACAAAGCACCGAGCTGATCTCCCTGTGCTATGTGTCTGCTTCCCACTAGATGGCGGAGGAGTAAGATGTGGAAAATATTGTTTAAAGCCCCTGTGTTCATTTCATTATTTGATGCATTTAGGATGACTTTACTTCTGATGTTTGATAACTACTTGTCAAATACTGTAGTATATTCATGATGCTTTATCAATTATACACTTGTACAGTTGTAAAAGAAAACAAACCTCAAAACAAAAGAAGTTTAAGGCTTAGACTGTTCTGGTGAAAGGAAATAAAAGCATTTCAAGGTATATACACATTTGTTGTAGCAAACTTAAGACTGAACAAACAATAAAAGACTCCCAAAGATAAAACACTTAAATTAGGAAAAAATTATGTGGACAGAGTGGAAGGAAAATTTTAGGTGGAGAAAAATAAATGATGTAAAATTCAAAGTGTTAAAAAAGAGTTTCTTCATATAATTCATTTTTTAAAATAAATGATGGTGAGTGTCAAATTTCGATGGTATTTACCTTCTAGAGATATATGCTAGAAACTGGACCATTTACAAAACATTATAGATTATATCCTTTGCAACTACTGAAATGTATGATAAATAATTGTAGTTGGGGAAGACTTGTAGATGAATCAGGCTTTCAGGGGAAGTCCAGGAGTTCATTTTAGACCTGCTGAGTCTGAGATTCTGTAAGACTTCCAAGTAGAGATGCAGAATAGTCACAGGGGAAAGAAGTACAAACTGGAAAGGTAAACGTTGGAATTAGCACAAACATGGTTTTAAATTTTAAAACTGTGAGACAGGAAGCATCATCAAAGAAATCAATGTAGGCTGAGAAAAGAAGAGGATTAAGGACTGAACCTGAGGTACTACAATAACAAGAAATCAGGGAGAAGAAAAGATTGAGAAGGAGCGGCTAGTGAAATAAGAAGAAAACTAAGAGAATGTGGAGACCTGGAAGCTGAGTGAAGAACATAAACTGTAGAGAAGGGAATGGTAACCAGTGGCAAATGCTGCTAACAGGTCAAGCAAGATGAGGGTTGAGACTTGATCATTGGATTCATTTATCTGAAGATGAGCAGAGTGGGTGATGTTAAGGCCTGATAGGAATGGGTTTAAGAGAAAACAGGGCAAAAAGGAAATTGAGAAATTGACATTAGCTGGCAGGGAAATTGAGATTAAGAGGAGGTTTTTGTGCTTGCTTTTTAATTTGTTTTTAATACGGAAGAGTTAACAGCACATTTATTTGTTGAAAGAAATGATCTGGTAAAGAACAACACAAAATGCAATTTTAAGAGAGAGGAAAGAATCGTAAAAGCAATATCCCTAAGTAGGTATACAGAAAAGAGTTAATATAACAGGCTTGAAACTGCTATCCTTAGAAAGGCCTGCCTGCAAGGTTGGTTCTGGTGTCTGGGAACTTGGTTTTTGTGAGGGTTCCCATCATTCCCAGAACTACTAAGAGTGGCTCACTTTACCTCAACTGTTTGTACAAACTATGTAGTTCATACTGAACATCTGCTTTCTTCCGGGACTACGGAATGTTGGTATGAGACAGGCAGAAGGTTACAAGGACCAGCCCCCAATAAAATCCTACTGAGTCTTTAATGAGCTTCCTTAGTAAACAGTACTTCCAATGTAATGTCATACATTGTTACTGGAGGAATTAACTGCATCCTGTGTGACTCCACCGGGAGAAAACTCTTATAAGCTTGCTCCTGGTTTTCTCTGGACTTTGCCCCATGCATCTTTTCCTTTTGCTGATTTTGCTTTTATTATTTCATTGCAATAAAACATAGCCATTGAGTATGGCTACATGCTGTGTCCTGTGAGTCCTTTTAGTGAGTCAGCAAACCTGGGGGTAGTCTTGTTGACTCCTAAGCGGTAGGCACGAAGAAAGGGATCCAGGACACAAGCAAATTTGTTGGCTTTAGATAGAAGGATAAATAGTACATCTATGGTAAAAGGAAGAAAGGTAGATTATACAGGTAGAAGATGCTGGTAGATGGACAAATGTGGTAATGAAAATTAAGAATTTCTCTTCTACTTGCTTCAGTTTTCTCAGTGATTTAGAAAAGTGGTCAGCTAAGCTTGAAAATGGAGAGGATACATAGAAGGTGTGAGACAGAAAAAGTTATAAAACAGTCACCCAGGAGAGTGGGAAACTGAATAAATTAAGGAAGTATGACTGCCAGATAGCATTAAGGACCAAGTTGAGGTCTATCGGCACAAATATGAGATAAAACCAGTAAGTGAATTGTATGTCTGTCTTTCTGCATGGTTCTAGCATTAGCAGGTGGAGAGTTGGGTTTAACTAAAATTGTTTTTCAAAGTTAAGTACAACTGAGAGATGGGCAAGGGATGTGATGGCACATGCAATAGAGTATAAAGTGATATGAGATTTAAACTGAATAAGCATAAAGAATAGCATAAAGATAAGGAGCAGCAGTAAAAAGGAGTTAAGATAATTGTATCTTATCTGGTCCTGGTGCAGCTGAAGGAAGAAGAGTATTGGTCAGACATATTCGCGGGATTGGTCACACAGTTGGATACTTTGAATGAGATTAAGAAGAGCTGTAGTTATTAGTAATGACAAGTTCTAGGGGAGTGAATGGCTGAGTTAGAGACTAAGATACTGGCAAAAGGGAGTTCAAGGAACAGAGAGGCTACGATGCCAAAATAATCATCTAGATAACCACTGAGATAATCAATACTTAAAAAGGGAGTATTTGTGGAGAGAGTGATGGTGATCCAGGAGCTAAAATTGTTGAGAAATAGAACAGAAGACCAGGGACAGATTAATGACTGCAACAATGCAGGGTAGTGATAACTCTTATGAGATTTAAAACTCAGGAGCTTCGGGCTTCCCTGGTGGCGCAGTGCTTGAGAGTCCGCCTGCCGATGCAGGAGACGCGGGTTCGTGCCCCGTTTCGGGAAGATCCCACATGCCGCGGAGCGGCTGGGCCCGTGAGCCATGGCCACTGAGCCTGCGCGTCCGGAGCCTGTGCTCCGCAAATGGGAGAGGCCACAACAGTGAGAGGCCCGCATAACGCAAGAAAAAAAAAAAAAAAAAAACTCAGGAGCTTCAAGGCTGAGCTTGGGAGGATAGACTGTAATCAACAATACGATAAAAGGAGAGCAGGCATTCATCCATTTCCAGAAAAAGTGTAAGGGAAAAACCACCACCGCTTGAGAGGACTGCTGTGGAAGGCACCAAACCCACAGGAGGAGCTAGGCTTGAAGGGGACATTCAGAGAAGAGCTGAATATGGCGATAGTGAATGAATTTTAGAGGCCTGGTGGAAGAGTTTCCAGGCAAAGGGTGGAAGAAATGGACAGAAATGGCTATGTACAGGGCCTTATGGGGATAATAGCTACAGTTTTTTACTTTATGTGACATTTATTTCCTATGTAAGTATGTTAGCAAATGTGTGTTTATATGCTTACCCATATGAATTAATATATTAATTCATTATTTCAAATATTTAATATTTATTAAGCATCCATTATGCTCTACTGCATTTGAGTATACAGTAATGAACAAGACAAAGTCCTTGGTTTTGTGAACTTAATTTATGGCGTTAGAGACAGTAAACAAGTAAAAAAAATGAATAAATAATGTAAGTTCAGAAAGTGATAAGGTCAGAAAGAACAAAATATCAAGGCTATTCAGAAAAAATGGATTAATGAAAGTTGAAATGAAAATTAAACACAAAAGATAAATATTATATTCACACATACACCTCAAATTCTGGAGGTCACATTTAATATCAAAGGTGAGCTATATAAAAAACATATCAGTCACCTGGGAGAAGAAAAAGAAGTCACTGTCCAAAATATCCAAAAAATAAAATTGACTTCACACATCCATTCTTAGGCTGCGTATTTTGTAGTCTTTTCACTCAGTTTCAGCTTTCAGTAACACTCTTGGGCTGCTAAATTTCACAACATAATTCAGAGGAAACATCCCTGTCAAAGTATAGAACGTGCTTCTTTTTATTATTCCCATCTCTCTTACATAAGTACTTACTGCCTTCAGTTCAGCTTCTTTCTTTATGTCATCAACATAGGAAAGCACAAAATCAATTTGCCTAATCCCATCTCGGAAGAAGATAGAATCTTTGCTTTGTTCATCTTTTTTAAACTGCAGGAGACATGAATGACACAACTTTAAATTATAGTTTTACTTTCACATGGCAAAAACATGAAAGCGATTAGCTAAAATTTGGTCACCATCTAATTTTTTTCAGTCTGAAATGACAGATGGAGACAACCAGAGTTTTCATCAACAGAAGATCATGCTTATTTTAGAAAGCGAAATGCCATAAAGTTACATATTAAACAACAAAGACTCAAGATGAAGCTAAGCATATTTACTACATGCATACACAATAAAAATGCTACAATTATACCAAAACACAAAATGAATACATGTATACATTGATCCCAAAATGCATATTCAGAGAGACTTGTTATCTTCATTAAACAACGTACCAATTAGTCCAACAAATAATTCATGGTCACAGTACTTTGGCGGTATAACTAATTATAGACGAATTAATGAATCTCACTGTAAGAACATAAACTTATGATTAATGCTTATATGTATGTTTTCATAAAGTTGCTACTTTCTAATTCAACTTTTGAAGGGTTAAAATGAAATCAACATGCAGTTAAAAATTAGAAAGCAAGTTAGCGTGCCAGCTGGCTTCACTTACAAGTAAACTCTCATGCAAATCTCCTTTCAACATCAACTTCCTAAGTGAGCTAAAAGCAATCCGCTGTTTAAATTTGTGTTATCAGTTCTCTCAGTATAATCGTCAAACTTACAAATTCAGCTTTCACATGTGTACTTCATTAATTCCTCCCCTTTCAAAACTGCAAAAACACTAGAGAGCTTCAGAAAGAAGAGATTTCATGTTTGGCTGATTTGGTCTTCTTTATAGTTTATATATAATATGTAATAGTTAATATTTGGAATAGGTGACATATAATACCTAGAATGATGTAAATAGATGATGCAGTGCATGTCAGTGATCTCTCTAACCCTGTGATGCAAATTTATAACATAGGCAACTTTCCAACTGCTTTAGCTAACCTGTGATTGGGGAACTGGGTTTTTAATTTTCATAACTGGTATTTATATTAGTTTATGAGTTTCTTTTATGGTACTCTATGCTGTTTTTCATTCAAGTCAGGCCAGGCAGATCACCCATAAAAAGGATTGGTTGTAGATCAGTCAAGTAAGAATAAGACAAAAATCTCATGTTTGATCTGTGGTCTGTGAACAGAATAACTGTATTTTATCTATATGAATGCATAACTGATGTGTCTCAGAAAGAACTAGCTCCCAGTGCACAGGAGGAAATGAGTGGAAAAAAGAATGAAGAAACAAAAAATATTCAGGGAGTCTAGAGATTACATATCAAAATACAGTAATTCAAATGTTATGTCTGAGTTCTCTACACCCCAGTCAAAGGATACATAATCATCTCTCTTTTCCTAAAAGAAAGTAAAACAAAAAGAAAACCCTGAAAAAATTCAAACTGTTGTCATGTTATATCTTGATTATAAATCATTAAAAAAATGTGAACAAAACAAAAAAATTATTTGAGCTCTTGTAAATCATCACAGTATTAGCATATCTTATGAAATTCACCAAAATTTGTGGAGCCAACTGGGGAAGGAAAAAAGATACTAATTAGATTAAATATAATCAAAGCAAAAAATTAGAGGGAAAAAACAATAATCTTTTTGCTCTAAATCTGGGACAGTCATAGTCTGTATGATAGAGGGTTTTTTTAAACACCATATATTTATAAGTGGTCATATTGTTTGAACAAGCTAAATTTAGGTCCACAGAGAGAAGTTCTGGTGATAGAAGATGTGCACATAGAAATCAACAAAAATCACACTCAAGAGTTCATGTCTATTAGGGAATAAACAAAGTAACTAGAATAGTGAATCTAATTATTTCCTGAATGTTCAGTCAAAATGGGTGTATGTAATTCCCTTCCCCTGAAAGATAGTCAAGGTAGCCTTTGGCTACCTAGAAAAATCCAAATATCTATCATTATGTCATATCCTAACTATAAACTGTAAAAAATTTTTTAAATACAGAGAAATCACTGGTAGCCTTGTAAATCACCATGAGGTACATATCTTAGGACTGTTAACAGAAACTGGTTGAAGCCAACTGGGGCAGAAAAACCTGGTAATTTTGTTACATATAATTGAACACTATTAAAACACATCACTTTTGTTTTGCTCAGGACATGACATTAAGATCATTTTTTGCAGTGTGTATAAGGTTTGTATTTATATTTGTATTTGTGTTTGATTTGTTCTTGGAAATGCCTGTTTATAGTGAGGCAGATATCTGGGTGGCTATTGAATGAGGTCGTTTTTCTGAGGTTTATAAACTTGGATTCTTGATGGGGATTCGTAAACTTCTGAAACTATGTAAACTGCATGTGTGTATGTGTGTATGTGCGTGTGTGTGTATTTATGTGTGTATGTAATTACATTTTTTTAGGAAAAGTTTCCAAAGCTTGAATCAGACCCAAAAAAAGATTAAGAATCACCATTCTAAAACCCCAGTTGCCTGGGGAATAGGAATCAGTGACAAAGTCCCCCAAATCAATAATATTCATTGCAACAAAAATGACTTGGGCTAGCACTGCAGCACTAGCAATGCATCCAAAGCATAAGCAGCATCATTCAGCACTGGTTACCATAAGACGCCGCCTCAGGAACAAATTGTATCGCTTTGCAGACTGTGAAGCAATCAACAGAGAGTTAGCAAATCCTGCCCAGGATTAAAGAAAAGATCCCCTGCAAAAACAGACACGCAAACAAACAAGACCCTCAGTATGATCACTCATGTGAATATGCATGTGTATGTGTATGTGTAATAATTAAATTGGAGGGTGGGAGAAGACAGAAGAACAAAAAAAAAGGGAGAAAACAATAAAAAATAAATGAAAGAAAAAAAAAAGGAGACTTCAAAGTAAATTTCCCTAAATCCCTTTACAATAACTTTAAATAATACACATTTGTGGACCTGGATTAAGAAGAAAACAAAAAAGAAAGAGAAAAAAGAATAATGAAGGAAAACATGAGAATGGAAATGTAAAGTAAAATAGGTATAATAGGTATTCTGTTAAGTATGCCTATACACATCCAACAAAGAAAGCAAAATTACTACAGTTATTCTGGGACCATGTATGGTATGAAAAGTTTACCCAATAGTGTAAAATACTTCATTACTGAAAAAACACTGAAATTACCATTATCATGTACATGTGTGGGTAATTACTTTTATTTTTTTAGGAAGATGTTCCAAAGCTTTAATCAGATCCAAAAATGATTAAGAATCTTTCATTACCATTAAAATATTTCACTACCAAAATACTGAAGAAAAAAACAAAAAGTCATTTGATTATTTAAATGCTGAGTTGTCTTCAGTCTTCAATTACCATGAGCATTATTTTTAAAATACCAAAGCAATTAATTAAAAACATCTGGGAAAGTCAATATTTGAAAGAAAACCTATGGCACAAAAAAGGCAGGTGTTGTATTTTATAGTATAATGAAATGATAAATTATCTAATAAAATTATCGATAAAGAGCTTCAGTTCTTGTCATGCAAAGTTTTGTTTAAACTGTTGTTTTCCTGGAATAGGCTAAAGAGACCTAAGCAACTGGTGACTAAGGCAGGAAAGTCCCTGCTCTGTAAACTGATGAGCCTACTATGTATAGATGAGTTAATAATTGCTGTTATTTAAAAACAACAGGGCTTCCCTGTTGGCGCAGTGGTTGAGAGTCTGCCTGCCGATGCAGGGGACGTGGGTTCGTGCCCCGGTGCGGGAAGATCCCACATGCTGCGGAGCGGCTGGGCCCGTGAGCCATGGCTGCTGGGCCTGCGCGTCCGGAGCCTGTGCTCCGCAAAGGGATAGGCCACAACAGTGAGAAGCCCGCGGTGCGGGAAGATCCCACATGCTGCGGAGCGGCTGGGCCCGTGAGCCATGGCTGCTGGGCCTGCGCGTCCGGAGCCTGTGCTCCGCAAAGGGAGAGGCCACAACAGTGAGAAGCCCGTGTACCCCAAAAAAAAAAAAAAAAAAAAAAGACATATGATGGGACAGAACAGAGAGTTTAGAAATAAACTCATACATACACGGTCAGTTTCCACAAAGGTTGTAAAGTAATTTATGAGGAAAAGACAGTCATTTCAACAGGCAGTGCTAAATATGCATATTTTAAAAGTAATTAAATTTAATTCTCACCATAAGTCATCTACAAAAGTTAACTCAAAATGAATCCTAGACCAAAAGTAAAGGTTAAAACTATAAAACTGAAGAAAATCTGAGAAAATCTCCCCTACTTTGGTGCAGACAAATATTTCTTAGATAGAGCACAAGAAACATGGATCGTAAAAGAAAAAGGATGAGAAATTGAACTTTGAAACTTTGAAAATTTGTATTTTTAAAAACAGTGTTAAGTAAAAGAAAAGGAAAGTCAGAGATTGGGAGAAAATGTTTGCAATAAATACAACTGACAAAGGTTTTGCATTCAGAATACATAAAAGCTTCTTACAAGTCAATAAAAAGATAATCCAATTTCTAAAAATACAGAAAAGATTTGAACATAAAGTTAACAGAAGAAGATGTAAGAATGGTCAATAAGCCCATGAAAAGATGTGTAACATTATCATTCATCAGGAAAATAAGAACTGAAACCATGAGATAACCTCCATTCAATCACTAAAGTTAAAAAGTTGACAATATCAAATGCTGGTGAGGATGTAGAGCAACTAGAATTCTCATGCATTACTGGTAGGAATGAAAAATATACAACCACATTTTAAAATAGTTTAGCAGTTTCATATAAAGTTACACATACATTTTTCATATGATCCAGAAATTTTACACCTAGGAAATTAATGAAAAGAAATGAAAATATGTCTATACAAACACTTCTTACACAAATGTTCCTAACAGCTTTATTTATAATGGTCCCCAAACTGAAAACAATTCAAATATCCATCAACAGGTGAATGGATAAACAAATTTTGGTATATCCATACAATGGAATACTACTTAGCAATAAAACAAAAGAAACCAAAAAACTACAGATATATTCAACAAGATTCAATTTATCAGTGTCATTTGAAGTTTTGGATGAGTCTCTAAACAAAAAAAGCCAGTAGCCAGACACAAAATAGTATATATTATTACATACATCATATAGTATTATTCCATTAACATACTACTTTAGAAAAAAAATTAAAAAAACAAATCAGCAGTTGGCTAGGGCAGAGGTGAAAGAGAAAAAGGAAGCCTTTTTGAGGTAATGGAAATCTATATCTTGATTGTTGTGATTTGTTAAAATTTGTCAAACCGTACACTTAAAATGGGCACATTTCATTGTATGTAATGTATAAACAATAAAGATGATAATTTTTAACTTGAACAACTAGAAGAATAGATTGTATGTATCTAAGATATGAAAGACTTCAAAAGAGCAGTTTTTTGTCTGGGAAAAAATTACATTTTAGACATGTAAATCTTGAGATGTCTTTAGATATTTAAATGCATATGATGGGGAAATGGCTTGGATATTTAAGTCTGAAGGTCTTAATATTTAAGTCTGATGCCTATACTAGAAACTTAAATTTAAGTGTTACAACATATCATTGGTATTTAATGCCATGAGACTGAATAAGATCTCTAGGAGACAAATGTCTGAGTCCTAGAGCAATCATATCTAAATACATATGTAGATCAATTATAAATACTAATCTATATTCATACTTATTGCTTCTGGTTCATTTATACATTCTGGCTGGTTTGTGCCTATGCCAAGTATATCATTAAATATTTGGAATATCATCCCTGAGGTGAACAAGATCTACACCCCTTCAAAACCTGTTAACAGCATGTTGATTGTTATTAAGGCATGCCTCTAGTGTGCCTTTCCAATTCCCATTCCTCCTTCTTTAAACACTAAGTACTTTTCAAATTATTCCTCCCAAGACAAATGGCACTCACTCTGAGACAGGTTCTTTTAGGTATAATTTTCTCCATTTTTCTGTGTTTCATTTAATGGTTTTAGCATCCTTCTAGCAATTTAGCTGGCCATTTAGGTACTCAATCAAATCCACTGTTGACTACTTTATTTAAAATAAAAGGTTAAATTATGTGAATTCCTCTGTATTTATAGAATCACTAGTAGTGAAGTTCTATCATAATAATGGTAGGATTACATTTTTTTCCAAAAGGAAAATATATCCAATGATATCCTGCTGGATATCTTTGGCTTGTCTCAGCAGAACCCTTCTCTATCCATCTCTACCCTGCTTTTTTTCTTGGGAGGGCGACTGGTTATACTGATAGGTATCAAAGAGCTCCTTTGACTTCTGGCTTCCCACAAATGATTGGAAAGAGGGAAAAGAGTGTAAATGTCTTCCTTTCTGAGGCTGGATTCAGGAAGGCTGTATCCTTCCACTGAAGGTCTTTAAGCCTCTCAAGAATTTCTCAAGTACATGACTCTCTCCTGGGATCTAATAATTGTTCCCTCCCAATTCCCTTCAGTTCTATGGATGATAATAGATTCATGTTTACTAGATCTATACACACTGGGCTTTTCTGGCACTCCATATTTGTATAAGATTTTTATTAAGCCCTCCTCAAATTATCCTATTTTGAGTATGCCTAATAGGACCCTGACTGATACACAATTTTCTTTTGTGATATTTCTATAACATTAAAAGAAAACTTCCCTGGAAAAATGGTTGATTCTGGGACAGACACAGGAAAAGTACAAGATGAGCATCTTGTAATGTCAGAAAGTAAGAAAAGCTAAAAACAAAGCAAAATCAATAGGGTTATATCAAAGGGATACAGGGATCAATCAAAAAGCTCTTAATAATCAAAGCAAAGGCCAATTTGAGCAACGAAGTAAATGAAGTAGTACTGAGTCTATAATACAAAATATAAAATAAATATCTCTGAGCCCAAACTGATATAAATAAATATACAAATAATGTATAAATAAACTGATGAATAAATAAATGAGACCTATTTCTCATACAGAAGAATTCCAAATAATTCATTTACCCTTAAGGAGGTGGAGCATAATCCCCCAATTCTTGAGTGGGCTGCACACAGTGACTTTCTTCTACAGTATAAAAAGGGAGAATAGAAAGAAAAACTTCACAGTAGAACAAGCTGACAAATATAACTTCAAGCCAAGCAATCAAGATTAACATCAAGAATGATAAGTCACGTGGGTAGGCAATGTACCCTTCATATAATGTGATGAAAAAAGCATTTTACTCCTATCGTCTTCCTCCAAAAAATGCACTACCCCAGTCTAATTATGAGAAAAACATCAGGAAAGCCATAATTGAGGGACATTCTACAAAATACTTGATAAGCATGCCTCAAAACTGTGAAGGTCATTGAAAACGAGAAAAGTCTGAGACACTGTCACAGCCAAAAGGAGCCTGAAGAGACATGACAACTAAATGCAATGTGGTGTCCTGGATGGGATCCTGGAACAGAAAAAGAACACCAGGGAAAAACTAAGGGAATGTGAACAAAGTATGGACTTTAGTTAATAATGATGTACCAATATTGGTTCATTATTTGCAACAAATATATCATATTAATGCAAGATGTAAATAGGGGAAAATGTACATGACGTATAAGGAACTTTATGTACTATGTTCATAATAAATCTGTAAATCTAAAACTATACTAAAATACAAAGTCGATTAAAAAAGGGAAACCAACTGTTTAATTTTAATAACTTACTGTTTGACCAAAGACAACGTCATCATAAAGAATGAAATACCATAAACCACTTTAAAATCATTTGGAATGTAAAACTTCAATTGTTAGTATATGACTTAACTGGGGAAATTATTTGCAACATATCAAGGGCAAAGGGATAATAATAAATATGTGACCAGCTCCAAAAAAATCAAGAAAAAAAAAAAAAGAAAACCTAACAGCTTGACAGGAAAATAGACAAAGAAATATACACAGAATGATCCAGCAAAATAAATTAAAATGACCATCAATGTAGAAAAAGATAAAATGTCTCACTCATATTGAGAGAAATGAAAGTTTAAACTATCCTAGGATACAGAGCTAACTGAAAAAGCTCTCAACTGAAAAAGGTCCACTATCTATCTCTCTAACAGGCAGGCAAACATCTAAACTTATTAATACACTGTTAATGAAGCTATGGAGAAATAGGACTCTCATATATTTCTTATAAATGCAAAACGGAGGGGAATTTGGCAATATACAGTAAAATTACATATGCCTTTATTTTTTGATACTTAAATCCTACTTAGAAAGATACATTTGGCCAAAATATTATAAAACTGATTCCCAAGGGTTAAAGACTAAAAAAAGAGAAAAGATTTCCAAGATTAAAAACAACCCAAACATCCATCAGTAAAGGGACTGTATGAATACACTATCCTAAACCCGCACAATAGAATACTATGTCACATACTAACAAATTAGAGTGAAATTGATACAGTATAGAGTATAGAGTGAATTCCAGGATATGTTTTTAAGTGAAAACCAAAGAACAGTTCAGTATATACAGTATGCTGCCTTTAAAGAAGCAGGAAGAATATAAATATACATATGTATGTAGACACACACACACACACACACACACACACACACACACACACACACAAAGTAAAGGATACATTGGAAAGATAAACTAAATAAAAATGGTTACTACAGAAGGTTTAAGAGGAAAAACAAGGAAGAAATTTTTCTCTGAAATGCTTTGTTTCATAGTTTCAAACTGATATAGATTTACCTTCAAGCTAATAAAGTCTAAGCTTCAGGACCTCTTACTTGCATCAGTCCCTTCAAGGATTTAGGAAGGATTCTAGCAACGTGTTCTCACAGTCAAACATTTTTGTAAAAATTTTAAAGTAAATTATTGTCCCATTATTCTTCTTTAAAAGTGACACCAAGGGCTTCCCTGGTGGCGCAGTGGTTGAGAGTCCGCCTGCCGACGCAGGGGACACAGGTTCGTGCCCTGATCGGGGAAGATCCAGTGAGAGGCCCGCGTACAGCAAAAAAAAAAAAAAAAAGAAAGAAAAGTGACACCAAAATGGCAGAAGCTTTAGGCTCCACTAAACTTTATTTGATTTACAGTTTTCAACTTTGGAATCGTGAATGTTTTACATGGTCAAAAAATAAACATAAATTAAAAAGAAAAATAAAAACAATAAAATTTCAAGTATTATAATCTGATCAATCCTACAACCTTCATTCTGGAACATAAAGATCAGTACTCTAGTGAAAAGGGAAACATCCGTACCAAAACTGTCAGTATAAGAGTATAACTCTATTTCCCCATCTCCCCAAACAGCATCTTTTATTTACTACGCAACTAACAAAAAATTCTGAACCTCTTAATTAACCTCTTAATTGAGGTTATTTATTAACCTCTTAATTGATATTCAAATTTGATTTTTAAATAAACTGTACTTCTTCATGATTATTCTTAAGCACGTACTTACAGGTAAGAAGAAAGATGTATGGAGAGAGAATACTAAATTAGGCCTCAGAAACCTGAGTTCTAGTCTAGTCCAGGATCTGCCCCCCTAAACAAATGGATAATTCTGGTCAAGTCATTAAACTTCTCAGATCCTTCATTTTCTCATCTGTAAAACTGAGAAAGTAAAATGCTAGCAAAGTGCTATGCTTTATGTGTCATTCTCATTAATGTGTCTAACGACATTTTTTTTCCCATAAGAAACTGATTTTTTACCAAAGTAATAAATTCTCTAATATCATGTATAAGAACCTGAAAAACAACTGTGAACTGAGAAATAGTCACGATTGCTGACTACAAAAAAAACACCCCGTCATGTCCATGCAAGAAAGTATAGTACAGATGGCTGCTTACCCTTGGTTCTTCACTGATGAGAAAACTGGACTCTCTGCTGTTCAGGTCCTGCTAATAGCGTCATGGAGAAGATAGAATGCTGTTAATAATAATAATGCAAGTGGGGAGTATATAACTTTTAACAATAAAAACTCTAGGTTCTCTGTGCAGAAGTACTAAACGTACAACTCAGGGGAGCTATGAAGCACCTGAAATTGGATGCAAAACTGCGTGTATACATGTGCATGTGTGGGTGTATAATGTGTGTGTATGTTTATGCGGGGGGAGAGAGAGAGAGAGAGAGGGCGCTTGAGAAAGAATGAGAAATTTGGAGGTAGATTTAACAAATCATAAAAAAAAATCTGAGATACAAGAAATGATTAAGAAATACTACATTGCAGAGAAATAACAAGCTCCAATCTTTTAACGATGCTGAATCCTGAACGGCACCAAAAGGAAGGACAGAATTAATTGGCTATTTTAGGCCTTTCACCATTTGTTTGAAATTATTAAAGTGAATACCCTAGAAAATGCATCACCAGAATTCTTAAGGATTTATACTTATAACCCAAGACAAAAGCCATACATAGATATAAATACACAAAAACCACTTGTAGTTAAAGTAATAGTGATGCCTCCCTTGGTGTATGGTGGATTTAAATCTTCACGCTCCATGATAGCCCGCACACCACAGCACATACTCCTGAGATCACTCAAATATTTCGCCTTCTCTCCCTCCCTCTCTCTCTTTCCTCTTTTTGTCAGTCTAGCTAGAGGTTTGCCAATTTTATTATCTATCAAAGAGCTAACTTTTTGTTTTAATGCTTTTCTCTAATATTTTTCTGTTTTCAACTTACTGATTACTGCTCTTATCTTTATTATTGCCTTCCTTCTGTTTTGTCTGGGTTTATTTTGCTCTTATTTCTTGAAAGGGAAGCTTATTATTGATTTAAGACTTTTCCTCTCTACTAACATAAATGTTTAGTGCTACAAATTTGCTACAAGTTTCCCTTTCAGTATTACTCTTGCTAGATCCTTCAAATGTTAATATGTTGCATTTTCACTTTTATTCAGGTCACTTTTTTTTTGTCTGTTTGTTTTCATTTTGTTTTTTTCCTTTAGGCTTTCTTTGACCCTTGGATTGTTTAGAAGTATGCTGTTTAGTTTCCAATAGTTGGAGATGTTCCTGTTAACAATGGTTACCGATTTCTAGTTTGATTACATTGTGGTTCAAGAACACATTCCATTATTTCAATTATTTTAAATTTACTGAGGTTTGTTTTATTGCCCAGAATATAGTCTGTCTTGGCATGTGTTCCATCAGCACTTGAAACGGATGTGTATTTTGCTGCTGTCAGGTGGAATACTATATAAATGTTGGCTACATCCTGTTAGTTGATGTGAGTTCATCTATATCTTACTGATTTTCTATTCAGTTGTTCCATCTATTATTGAAGAGTGAAGTCTCCAGTTATAATTATAGATTTGTGTATTACTCCTTCCCATTTATTAGTTTTTGCTTCACATATTATGATGCTATTATTTTGTGCATACAAATTTAGCATTGCTATGTTTCATTGTTGAATGGATTCCTTTTATCATTATGTCATGTCCTGCTCTGTCCATGGTAATTTTCTTTACTCCAATGTGTAATCGACATTAATGATGTGATATTAATATAACACTCATGCTTTCTTTTTGTTAGTGTTTGCATTTATTTTCATCCATAATGTATATTTTTAATCCTTTTACTTGCATTTTTTAATCCACTTTGCCAAACTCTTTTTTTTTTTTTTTTTGCGGTATGCGGGCCTCTCATTGCTGTGGCCTCTCCTGCCGCGGAGCACAGGCTCCGGACGCACAGGCTCAGCGGCCATGGCTCACGGGCCCAGCCGCTCCGCGGCATGTGGGATCCTCCCGGAACGGGGCACGAACCCATGTCCCCTGCATCGGCAGGCGGACTCTCAACCACTGCGCCACCAGGGAAGCCCTCTTTTTTCTTTTCAGTTTGTGTGTTTAGACTATTTACACTTCATGTAATTACTGGTGTATTAGGAATTAAAAGTTCTGCCATTTTATTTTTGTGTTTTCTGTTTGTTTCTTCTGTATTATGTTTCTCTGTTTTATTTTTCATGACTTCCCATGGGTTATTGGAAATATTTTTATAATTCCATTTTGATTTATCTAAACAGTTTTTGGGTATATGTCTTTGTATAGTTTTTTAAGTGGTTGCTTTGATATTAATTACATTATATACACATTATTTATCACAGTTTACAGTATACATGTTTTACTTGTCAAATGAAGTATAAAACCCTCACTTCCCTTTACAATCCCAAACCTTCTTTGTTTATAATTGTCTTAACTATTTCTCTGCATATACTGGGAACCACATCAGACATTGTAAAGTTTTTACTTCAGCTGTCAAAACATAATTTTGAAAACTTGAGACAGAAAGTCTATTGCATTTACTCATGCTTTTACTCTTTCTGTTGATTTTTCCCTTCATCTCCATGCTACAAAATTCCTTATTTTATCATTTTCTTTCTGTTAGAGAACTTCCTTTGGCCAATCTTTTAGAATAGATGTGCTAGTGAAAAATTTTTTTAGCCTTCCTTTCTTTGTGAATGTCTTGATTTCTCTGTTCATTCCTGAAGGGTATTTTCACTGGCTATAGAATTCTGATTTGGCACTGAGCTCTTGAAAAAATCTGTATTGCTTCCTTTAGCCTCCATGGTTTCTAATGTGAAATCTGCTATCATTTTAATGACTTTCCCCCTAGAGTTAAGTCCCTAGCCAGTTTGTCTTCGTCTCTAACATTCACAGTCTTATTATGTTTGTTTTACATATAATGTCCAGAGTTTTTAGCTATACTTAGCAAAAGAAATAGAGAAAATTTTGTCTACTCCATCTTTCTAGAAGTATGAGCAACAGTCACTTTGGAGCTAGTTCAATAATATACCCATTTAATAACTCTAAACCTTATCAGCCATTCTTCATCTTTGTTTTGGAGAAGTGCTGTTTTTATTCCAACATACTTTATATTAAAAAAAAATATATGCTAGACCTAACTATAGGTTAAGTCTAAAGGGAGTTTGGTATGATAGTGCTATTCTCATAGGGTTGAACATTCCCCTGTCACTTACTGCCTTCGTATAAAAGTAACACTAAAAAAAACTAAAAATTATGACATATGCTATTTCTAAAATACTATGGTTGCTCTTGAAATGTGCAGAGGTAAGGAACAGTATAAATATGACTTGAGAATGTTTTTTGTTACAGAAGTTTAAGTTTGGAATATACATATAAATATGAAAGATACACAAAGAAGCAAAGAATATGAAGTAATTCATAATTACTTGAAGTTAACTTGAGCAATACATATAAAGATCTGTAAGAAGTATATTATTGCTATGTCAATATGAACAAAATGAAAATGACAATATTATTATCATTCAAGTTGCATCAGTCAATCTCATAAGATAAATCTTTCCTCAGTCTGCTCCAAAGACATGTAAGCTTTAATTTTTGATGTTCTTTATTATCTAGATAATTGTCTTAATTTACTAACTCACTCAATAAATATGTTCTGGGCTTCCCTGGTGGTGCAGCAGTTGAGAGTCCGCCTGCCAATGCAGGGGACACGGGTTCGTGCCCTGGTCCAGGAAGATCTCACATGCCGTGGAGCAGCTGGGCCCGTGAGCCACGGCCGCTGAGCCTGCGCATCCAGAGCCTGTGCTCCGCAACGGGAGAGGCCACAACAGTGAGAGGCCCACATATCGCAAAATAAATAAATAAATAAATAAATAAATATGTTCTCTGTGCCACATTACATCACTTTAGTTGTGGGCCCTATGCTTTATGACAGTGGTTTCCAAACTTTAATGGCAATATGAATAACCTGGGGTGCTGTTTTTAAATCATGACTCCCTAACCTTATCCCCAACAATATTGATTAGTAGTCTGAGGTTGGTTCCGGGAGTCTGCCTTTTTAAGAAATTCTTTATATAATCCTTATTCAGGTGGTCTACAAATTACACTGTAAAAATAACTGGATCAAATGATTTTCATAGTTTATTCAATTCTCATATTCTATTTTTCTTAGCATTTTGGTCATTGAGCTTCTAAAGGATCCCAGAACTTCTAGAAATCTTAAGTCAACCAGCTAAATGAGCCAGTTTATCCAGCTAAGTAGCACACAGCCAACCTATTCTGGTAAGTTGTGTTTCCCAGGGTGGGAATTTCAGTCACTCCTAAAAAGCTATTTTTAAAGAGACTTTTTCTATTTGGCTGTTCATCCCTAACCCAATTCAAGGACATCCAACTCTATGAGTATGGCTCTGGGTCAACTAGAGCCTAACAGAAAGATTATTTTATCTGAAATACTTTTAGAATGCTTATACTCTGTATACCAAAAAAAAAAAAAAAAAAAAAAAAGTTGTATCTATTTGCAAGTTTATATAAATAAAATAAGGACTTTGCTTAAGAGAATCCTATATTTTTGCAAATTGTATTTAACTTTATTATTTATAATTTTATTTAATATATTTACTTAATTCAGGTTGAGTAACTTAAACCCTGGCATAGTCATCAATAAGCACTTATCAGGTTCAAAATGGCAGTATAAGGAGATCCTGAACTCACCTCCTCCCATGGACATACCAAATCTCCAGCTAAAAATGGAACAATTCCCTCTAAAAAATGAAAACTATCTGACTAGCACCTCCAAAACAAAGGATAAAAGGTCACAATAATGAGGGTGGGAAAAACAGAGATGCAATCCCACCAAAAATCCCACTCTTGGGTGCGGCTCACCCATAATCAGGAAGGATCTCACAAATATGGAGCTTCTTCCTGAGAAATGAGGGGTTTGTGCCCCACATCAGGCACCCCAACCCTTGGGACCTGCACTGGAGGGACAAGCCCCCAAAATGAATGGTTTGAAAACCAACAGGGCTTATGTTCAGGAGACCCAAAGGGCTATCGGGAACTAAGATTCTACTCTTAAAGGGCTCATCTATAGACTCACTCACCCTGGGACCCACCACAAAAGAAGCAGTTTGAAAAG